GTGGGGGCGGGGAATGGGGCTAGGCCTGGGGACAGCTGGTCCCAGAAGATGAGGAGGTACTTGTATCTCCTCCTCCCATGGCAGACATTGGTCTGAGACACTTCCTTAACAAGGAGCCAAGGGTGGGCCACCTCTTGGTAAAGACCCGGGCCGGGCGATTATACCGGCGAACCTACAACAGAACAGAACACTGAGTGTCTGTGGTTCGATCCCCGGCAAGGGTGAAAATATTGGACGTATTTCCTTTCACCTGCTGTCCCCATTCACCTAGCAAGTAAGTAGGTGGCTGGGTGTTATTCGACTGGTGTGGGTCGCATCCTGGGAGGATCAAATTTAGGGACCCCAATAGAAATAAGGCAGACACCTTGCACCTCTTGACATCGTCTGCTGCTATGCAGCTGCCACCCTTCGAGCCCAGTGTGGGAGGGGTTTGGGGTCAGTGTTCAGTGGTCAGTCGTCACGTGAGGTCACAGACCCTGAGCTGCTTTGGGGATTAGCGTGGACGGTTACAAAGCATGGCTTGCTTCTGCAGTGTTTTAAAAACTGAGTTTGGAGAGTTGAAGGAGGAGGTCTTGCTTCTCCAGGAGGAGATTAGGAGGCTGAAGGTCCACCTCAATGGGCCTGGGAGAGAGTGTGAGGTGGTTGGAGATGTGGGGAATGAGGCTTCTAGCAGTGAGGTGCAGTCGGTCTCTCACTGTGAGGAGGCTGTAGGTGGGGAGGTAGCAACGGGTACCAGCAGTGAGGTGCAGCCCAGCACCTGCTACAAGTGGCGAGTTGTTCACAGTAATGGGAGGCGCATCAGAGTAAGGAAAGTTAAGAGTGAAGATCTGAAGGTAGGAAATCGCTTCTCTTTCTCCAGGATGAATGTACTTCAGTGGCCAGTGAAGGTAAGGGTACTACTGCCCCTGCTAATGAAGGTAAGCGCATTCTTGTGGTTGGTGACTCTCAGGTAAGATATGTTGACCGTGCTTTTTGTAATGGAATAAGAAGATGAGAGATAGAGTGTGCTTCCCTGGAGCTGGTGTTGGGGACATTGTCAACAGACTGGATAATATCATGTCAGGTAATGGGAACAAGCCATTATCTGTCTCAGTGCTGGTGGAAATGATATTGGGAAGGGTAGGAGAGAAGAGCTGCTAGATAAGTACAGGTCAGCTATAGATTTCATTAAGTCTAAGGGAGGGATCCCAATCATATGTAGCATCTTGCCTAGAAGGGGAGTAGGAAATGAATGGTTGTCTAGGGCAATTGGTGTAAATTGCTGGCTAGACAGATACTGCAAGGAACTTGCAATCCCATTCATTGACAACTGGAACAACTTTTATGGCAAACATGATATGTATGCAAGGGATGGGGTTCATCTCTCTGGGCAGGGGTGGTAGCACTTGCAGACTCGATTGAGAAGGCCTTGGTGAAATGCCTATGATTTTAAACTGATGGAAGATAGAGGTATGGGTGTGTGTGGGAAACAAGCAGGTTGCAACACTAGGGTTGGAAACAGTAAATGTATAAAAGGCATTCAGCATGAAGTTATAAATAAAGACAATAGAACAGGTCAGAAAACAAAGGGGGACAGCAGAGGGCAGCAAGGGACTAGCTCCTTAAGTTTACTATACTAATAGCAGGAGTGTTAGAAATAAGATAGATGAGCTAAGATTAATTGCAAGTGCAGGAAACATAGATATTATTGCTATAACAGAGACCTGGCTCAATCTGAAAGATAGAGAGATGCCATCTGAATGTCACATACAAGGCTATAATTATTCCACACTGACAGGGTCAACAGGAAAGGTGGTGGAGTAGCGATGTATGTCAGAGACAATTTAAATTGTTGTGTTAGACAAGATATTAAATTAGAAGCGTCAGCCACTGAATCTGTTTGGTTACAGCTTCTCGAGGGCCGAGGAAAAACTAATTTTGGGTGTGATTTACAGGGCCCCAAATCTTGATAGGGAGTGCAGTAAACTTCTATGGGACGAAATTCGTAAGGCATCTACATACGAAAATGTTGTGCTAATGGGAGATTTCAACTATAGACAGATTGACTGGAGCAATTTGACAGGAAATTTAGAGTCGGGTGACTTTCTTGATACGATCCAGGATTGTTTTTTAAAACAGTTTGTGACAGAGCCAACTAGGGGAAATAACCTCCTTGACTTGGTTCTTGCCAGTAGGGAAACACTAATTAATAATCTTGAGGTTAATGATGAGCTTGGGGAGAGAGTGATCACAAATCACTCAGTTTTAAACATATCATGGAATTCCCCTAATAATGGCAATCAAGTCTCCGTCCCTGACTTTCGCTTGGCTGATTTCATAGGACTGAAAAATTACTTAGGTGGGCTGAACTGGAATGACCTGACTAGGGGTCAGGTAGGTGGTGATGGTTGCCGATATGATGCTTTCCAGGGCATAGTTCTAGCTGCTCAGTCAAATTATGTTCCAAATAGGGAAATCAGATCAAAACAAAAATGATCCTAAATGGATGAACAATAGATTAAAATATCTGATTGGTCAAAAGAGAGGCATATATAGGCAAATCAAAGAGGAGAGGGGCAATTAAGAAATCGATATATTCAGTTAAAGAGAGAAATAAAAAAGGGAATTAGAAAAGCAAAAAGAGATTATGAGGTTAAAGTTGCAAGAGAATCGAGACTAACCCAAAAGGATTCTTTCAGGTATACAGAAGTAAGATCAGGGACAAGATAGGCCCACTCAAAAGTTCCTCGGGTCAGCTCACTGACAGTGATAAGGAAATGTGTAGAATTTTTAACACATACTTCCTCTCAGTTTTTACACAGGAGGGATACCAGTGATATTCCGTAATGATAAATTATGTAGAACAGGACGATAATAAACTGTGCACTATTAGGGTCACAAGTGACATGGTCCTTAGGCAAATAGATAAATTAAAACCTAACAAATCCCAGGCCCTGATGAACTGTATGCAAGGGTTCTAAAGGAATGTAAAGAGGAGCTTAGCACACTTTGGCTAATCTTTTCAACATATCACTACAAACTGGCATGGTGCCAGATAGTGGAAAATGGCAAATGTGATACCTATTTTCAAAACAGGTGACAGGTCCTTAGCTTCGAACTATAGACCAATAAGCCTAACCTCCATAGTGGGAAAATTTATGGAATCAATAATTGCCGAGGCAGTTCGTAGCCACCTTGAAAAGCATAAATTAATCAACGAATCTCAGCATGGTTTTACAAAGGGACGTTCCTGCCTTACGAATTTATTAACTTTTTTCACTAAGGTATTTGAGGAGGTAGATCATGGTAACGAATATGATATTGTGTATATGGACTTCAGTAAGGCTTTTGACAGGGTCCCACATCAGAGACTATTGAGGAAAATTAAAGCACATGGAATAGGAGGAGAAATTTTTTCCTGGATAGAGGCATGGTTGACAAATAGGCAGCAGAGAGTTTGCATAAATGGGGAGAAATCAGAGTGGGGAAGCGTCACGAGCGGTGTTCCACAGGGGTCAGTGTTGGGCCCCCTGCTGTTCACAATCTACATAAACGACATAGATGAGGGCATAAAGAGCGACATCGGCAAGTTTGCCGATGACACCAAAATAGGGCCGTCGAATTCATTCTGACGGGGACATTCGAGCACTCCAGGAAGATTTGAATAGACTGATGCAGTGGTCGGAGAAGTGGCAGATGCAGTTTAATATAGACAAATGCAAAGTTCTAAATGTTGGACAGGACAATAACCATGCCACATATAAACTAAATAATGTAGATCTTAATATTACGGATTGCGAAAAAGATTTAGGAGTTCTGGTTAGAAAGTAATCTGAAACCAAGACAACAGTGCATAAGTGTTCGCAATAAAGCTAATAGAATCCTTTGGGCTTCATATCAAGAAGCATAAAAATAGGAGTCCTCAGGTTGTTCTTCAACTCTATACATCCTTGGTTAGGCCTCATTTAGATTATGCTGCACAGTTTTGGTCACCGTATTACAGAATGGATATAAATTCTCTGGAAAATGTACAAAGGAGGATGACAAAGATGATCCCATGTATCAGAAACCTTCCCTATGAGGATAGACTAAGGGCCCTGAAACTGCACTCTCTAGAAAGACGTAGAATTAGGGGGGATATGATTGAGGTTTATAAGTGGAAGACAGGAATAAATAAAGGGGATGTAAATAGTGTGCTGATAATATCTAGCCTAGACAGGACTCGCAGCAATGGTTTTAAGTTGGAAAAATTCAGATTCAGGAGGGATATAGGAAAGTACTGGTTTGGTAATAGAGTTGTGGATGAGTGGAACAAACTCCCGAGTACCGTTATAGAGGCCAGAACGTTGTGTAGCTTTAAAAATAGGTTGGATAAATACATGAGTAGATGTGGGTGGGTGTGAGTTAGACCTGATAGCTTGTGCTAACGGGTCGGTTGCCGTGTTCCTCCCTTGAGTCAATGTGACCTGACCTGACTAGGTTGGGTGCATTGGCTTAAGCCGGTAAGGACTTGGACCTGCCTCGCATGGGCCAGTAGGCCTTCTGCAGTGTTCCTTCGTTCTTATGTTCTTATGTTCTTATGTTCAATCCTCGATGACGCCCTGACTCTTGGGTTATCCTGGGTGGCTAACCCTCCGGGATTAAAAATTCGAACAAATCTATCTGTTTATTCGAATGGAAATTCAGTTCCCTTCCCTGTTTCCGTTTAGCTTTTGGGCAGCTTCGACACTATTCCTAGGGTGTCCCGTAGCTCGATCTCTAGCGCACTTAGCCAACACACTGAGGTCCAGAGTTCGAATCTCCGGTACGACTGGAAAACATTAGGGACGTGTTTCCATAAGACACCTGCTGTCCATGTTCAACCAACAGTATAAAATGGGTAACTGGGTATTAGTCTACTGGTGTGGGTCGCATCCTGGGACAAAACTGACCTAATATGCCCGAAATGCTCAGCATAACAAGCGGGTTTCTATATAGTAGTATGTCACTGATGTCAGCTATGGTCAGTATACCTTGTATATGTACTTGTAGAACTAAATATATTATAATTTTATTCCGTAGAAAAGAGGAAGCAAGACTTGATACACAAATAACCGGTGTAAGCAATAGTGGCCCTCAAAACCCTCAGCAACAACAATTTACGCTTCATAAGTAATTTGAAACAATTGTTTTATACAGTAAATTATAAAGAATTTAACCTAGGATAACCCATTAGAGTGAAACTGTGATTTATTTCTATTGCACCATTTTCATTATCGATGTGTAATAATTAGTAATGTTGAAAATGACAGCCTGTATAATTTAGCCAGAAAAGGGGGGATTTTATTTATCAGGGAAAATTGATCTATAGATCTTCTCTGCTGGTGGGGGCTTTGTTTTGGGGGGAAATTATTTGGGGTTCCAGTTCCCCAAATTGGGGTGAATACCTTCCAAACCCCCCTAGGCACTGTTAATCCCTACCCATTTTGTGCCCTTTCCCCTGTTAGTTAAAATAGATCTTAAATTTAGACTTTTCACTGGAAAAAAACCCCGCCAAAAAAACTATCAGTTTTTTTTCTGCTTGGGTGGTTTTGAAGGGGCTTTTGGTTCAAGGGGAAATTTAAAAAGCTATTTCCCAAACAAAGACTCTTGGGGTATAACCGGGGGGAAATTTCGGGGGTCAAACCCCCCCCAGCCCAGTCCCTGTGACCCTTCCTTTACAGTGGAAACAGGGCCTGAAACACCAGGGTGTTACTGTGGCAGCATGCAAAACCCAAAGTAAAGAACCACAGCCCGGTTGGCCCGGTACTGACTTTTTGGTGCCTGTCCAGTGGGCTTCTTGGAAAACGCCAGGGGGCATTGGTAAAACCCCCTTTTTGTATGCTTGGGGGGGCAGTTGAAAAAGTCCCCTTGGGCTTCTGGACACTTATTGTGTTGTCTCAGTGTACTCGTGGCGCCCCTACTTTTCAGTGGAGGAATGTTGCATCTCCTGCCGAGTCTTTTGCTTTCATAGGGAGTTGTTTTCGTGTGCAAGTTTGGTACTAATACCTCTAGGATTTTCCAAGTGTATATTATCGTGTATCTCTCTCGCCTGTGCTCCAGGGAATACAGATCAAGGGCCTTCAACCATTCCCAGTAATAGGTTAGGTTATATTATATTAGGTTATATTACAGTGGACCCTCGACCAGCGATGGCATCGATTAACGATAAATCTGACTAGTGATACATTTTATCGCAAAAATTTTGCCTCAATTAGCGCTAAAAAACTCAACCAACACTATTCGTTCCGTCTAAGACCCGTCCACTTCTGGCCAGTGTTTACAAGCCAGCCAGCCACCGTGGTCGCTTCCAAGCATACAATCGGAACATTTCATATTATCACAGCCTTTTTAGTGATTGCACCTGCAAAGTAAGTCACCATGGGCCCCAAGAAAGCTTCTAGTGCCAACCCTACAGCAAAAAGGGTGAGAATTACTATGGATATGAAGAAAGAGATCATTGCTAAGTATGAAAGTGGAGTGCGTGTCTCCGAGCTGGCCAGGCTGTACACAAAACCCCAATCAACCATCGCTACTATTGTGGCCAAAAAAAACGGCAATCAAGGAAGCTGTTTTTGCCAAAGGTGCAACTATGTTTCAAAACTGAGATCGCAAGTGATAGAAGATGTTGAGAGACTGTTATTGGTATGGATAACGAAAAACAGATGGGAGGAGATAGCATCTCTCAAGCGATCATATGTGAAAAGGCTAGGAAGTTGCATGAGGATTTAATTAGAAAAATGCCAGCAACTAGTGGTGATGTGAGCTAATTTAAGGCCAGCAAAGGTTGGTTTGAGAGATTTAAGAATCGTAGTGGCATACATAGTGTGATAAGGAAATGGTGAGGCTGCCATTTTGGCCCAAAAAAAAGCAGCTGAAAAATATGTGCAGGAATTCAAGGAGTACATAGACAGTGAAGGACTGGAACCTGAACAAGTGTTTAATGGTGACACTGACAATGTTGTGAATCACTTTAGGAATGTCATAAAGGAACGGGAGGTACAGGCCTCTATGGGCAGATATGTTGTGCGACAGAGGTCCAGTGACTCTCAAGCTGGTCCTAGTGGCAATAAAAGAAGAAGGAAAGTAACCCCGAAAAAGGACTTGCCACCTCAAGTCCTAATGGAAGGGGATTCCCCTTCTAAACACTAGGTCCATCAACACACTCCCCTCTTCCCATCCCATCAATCATCACCAGATCTTCAATAAAGGTAAGTGTCATGTAACTGTGCATGTCTTCTTCAGTTTGTGTGTATTAAAATTAATATTTCATGTGTTAAAAATTTTTTTTTTTTTCAATACTTTTGGGTGTCTTGCACGGATTAATTTGATTTCCATTATTTCTTATGGGGAAAATTAACTTGACTAACGATTATTTTGACTAACGATGAGCTCTCAGGAACGGATTAATAGCGTTAGTCGAGGGTCCACTGTATATTGTTGTCATATTTATTGCTTGGTGGGCCACTACTTCTGAATTTCTTTAAAGAAAGGATGCTCAAGAATAACAAAAAAATTATTATTATTACAGGGCTTCCTGATAATTTTGTTTTACTAAATACTGTATATATATATATATCTATATATATATATGTGTGTGTGCATTGTGGGAGAAATTATAACATAAGAAAACATGAAAGACCTCTCCATACCTAGCAGCAGTTTAAGAACATCAGTGAGATCACTGGTATTTTTTAAAGTTACATACATATATACAATATATCTGAAATGCATAGGGAGTCACTGGTCAGAGAAATAGCAAACATCGAACTTAAGCTAAAGGAATCTTATAGGAGTCAGGAATCGCGGGAAGAACTAAAAGCCATAAATGAAATCGAAAGAAACCCAAAGTATTTCTTTTCTTATGACAAATCAAAGTCGAGAACAACATCCAGTATTAGATTAGGTTTTGCCACCGAAGTGGATAGTTTATTGTGCACCCCATATCCATCCTGTGGACGGTAGCACAAGAGCATATGGATACACAAAAGGCCTAGGAACTAGGCCCCAAAGGGTTAACAGGAATACATATGAATTTATATCTACATATCTATACTTCACTTATCTGTTAAAAGCAAATTTAGAAAATTTGCTTAGTATATCTGGTATCTTATTTTCATTAATAAGATATCTTGACATGTCACATAGGTTATTATACTGTCTGTCTCTGTATTCCTCATTAAGTGGGCAATTAAGCACATAGTGTTCAAGACAGTGACCATATGCCTGATCACATAATTTACATTTAGTTTGATCATCGTCTGTGTGTCTCCCAAACTGCCAGAAGTACTTGTAACCAATCCTAAGCCTGGCCACTACAACATCAGTCAGTCTGTTCACATTGCACGTTGCTCCATAAACATACTTATCTACGTTCATGTTATCATAGTGGGTTATAGATCTACTCAGGCTTCTAACTGCATTCCTATAACAATCATTTTCATTATTTACTTCTCTCCTACTATTATTCCTAATGCTAGACACAGTTATACCAAAGTTATATTCTACATTCTCCTTCTGGGTACTCTTCTTGGCTAACATATCAACTTTATCATGAAGGAGTAATCTAATGTGTGATGGGATCCATAACAACTGTACATTAATTCCTTTGTCCCTGATTTTTGAGTATCTATACCTGGCTTCTCCAATGAGCATGTTATTGGAGTCATACGAGTCAAGAGCCTTCAATGATGACATAGAATCAGTAATGATGATACAGTCAAGCTTGGTGTCATAAGTTAGCTTTAGCGCCATTAGGATTGCAAACAATTCAGTTTGCAGTGTAGACGCCCAGTTATTAATTCTTATGCCTAACTCAACAAATTTATTATCGTTCTTAACTAAGGAGGTGGCAACAAGAGCAGATGCAGCCCTTCCAGAAGACTCCTGTTTAGATCCATCAGTGTATATAACTTGTGATAACTTATTACTACCAGCTAGGCGAGAAATTTCTTCTTGAGCAGTTGCTTTAAGAAGTGATTTAAGGAAGGGATTACTAGCAATGAGCTTCTTGGGAGGGACTTGCAGGTATATGATATTAAATGAACACATCTTCCATGGAGGGGTGAAATGCTCTTGTTGTCTCAATGATACAGTTCATGCAGGTTATAAAACTTAATGCAATTGCACGTTTTCACAATCCGTTTAGATCTGTGTGTATCTACCTCTAGACACTTGGTAAGATGCATTGTGACAGAGTCTGGTTCATTTCTCAACATTCTAATACCGAGTACAGTGTTAATCTCAACAATCCTATCACTTATACTAGAAATACCAAGCTCCTTCCTCATATTAGAACCTTTGTAAATCTGGGACATCCAAGAATAATTCTGAAAGTTTCATTCTGCATTAACTCCAAGGGTCAGAGAAAATGACAGCCAGAATAATTTAGCCAGAAAAAAAGTGGGGATTTTATTTATCAAGGAAAATTGATCTATAGATCTCAGACTTTTCGCTGGAAGAAACACTGCCAAATCTATCAGTTTTCTCTGCTTGATGCTGGTGAAGGACTTTTGGTTCAAGAAATTAAGAGCTGTCCTATCACTGACTGTTTTGGGGTATACCTGGAGGGAATTTTGGGGGTCAACGCCCCTGCAGCCTGGTCTGTGACCACGCCTCACAGTGGATCAGGGCCTGATCAACCAGGTTGTTACTGCTGACCGCACGCAAATTGACGTACGAACCACAGCCCGGTTGGTCAGGTACTGACTTTAGGTTCCTGTCCAGTGCCTTCTTGAAGACAGCCAGGGGTCTATTGGTAATCCCCCTTATGTATGCTGGGAGGCAGTTGAACAGTCTTGGGCTCTGGACACTTATTGTGTTGTCTCAGTGTACTCGTGGCGCCCCTGCTTTTCAGTGGAGGAATGTTGCATCTCCTGCCGAGTCTTTTGCTTTTATAGGGAGTTGTTTTCGTGTGCAAGTTTGGTACTAATACCTCTAGGATTTTCCAAGTGTATATTATCGTGTATCTCTCTCGCCTGTGCTCCAGGGAATGCAGATCAAGGGCCTTCAACCATTCCCAGTAATAGGTTAGGTTATATTATGTCACTCTTGAATATAAAGTTTAGTATCTCTTCATCATTGTTGTCATATTTATTGCTTTGTGGGCCACTACTTCTGAAGTTCTTTAAAGAAAGGGTGCTCAAGAATAACAAAAAATTATTATTATTATTATTATAGGGCTTCCTGATAATTTTATTTACTAAATACTGTATATATATATGTGTGTGTGTGTGTGTGTGTGTGTACTCACCTATTTGTACTCACCTATTTGTGGTTGCAGGGGTCGAGTCCTAGCTCCTGGCCCCGCCTCTTCACCGGTTGCTACTAGACCCTCTCTCTCCCCGCTCCATGAGCTTTATCAAACCTCGTCTTAAAACTGTGTATGGTTCCTGCCTCCACTACGTCATTTTCTAGGCTATTCCACTGCCTTACAACTCTATGACTGAAGAAATACTTCCTACTATCTCTCTGACTCATTTGTGTCTTCAACTTCCAATTGTGGCCTCTTGTTTCTGTGTCCCCTCCCTGGAACATCCTGTCCTTGTCCACCTTGTCTATTCCACGCAGTATTTTATATGTCGTTATCATGTCTCCCCTGACCCTCCTGTCCTCCAGTGTCGTCAGGCCGATTTCCCTTAATCTTTCTTCATAGGACATTCCCCTTAGCTCTGGGACTAACCTTGTTGCAAACCTTTGTACTTTCTCTAGTTTCTTGACGTGCTTTATCAAGTGCGGGTTCCAAACAGGTGCTGCATACTCCAGTATGGGCCTGACATACACGGTGTACAGTGTCTTGAATGATTCCTTACTAAGGTGTCGGAATGCTGTTCTCAGGTTTGCCAGGCGCCCATATGCTGCAGCAGTTATCTGATTGATGTGTGCTTCCGGAGACATGCTCGGTGTTATACTCACCCCAAGATCTTTCTCCTTGAGTGAGGTTTGCAGTCTTTGGTCACCTAGCCTATACTCTGTCTGTGGTCTTCTGTGCCCTTCCCCTATCTTCATGACTTTGCATTTGGCAGGATTAAATTCGAGAAGCCATTTGCTGGACCAGGTGTCCAGTCTGTCCAGGTCTCTTTGAAGTCCTGCCTGGTCCTCATCAGATTTAATTCTCCTCATTAACTTCACATGTGTGTGTGTGTGTGTGTGTGTGTGTGTGTGTGTGTGTGTGTGTGTGTGTGTGTGTGTGTGTGTGTGTGTGTGTGTGTGTGTGTGTGTGTGTGTGTATTGTGGGAGAAATTATAAGATAAGAAAACATGAAAGACCTCTCCATACCAAGTAGCAGTTTAAGAACGTCAGTGAGATCACTGGTATTTTTTAAAGTTATATAGTGTAGCATTCTTCATTTAGGTATATAATAATACTACTACTACTACTACTACTAATAATAATAATAATAATATTAATATTACAGCCTCTTCTCACTTAATGACGGAATTCCATCATTGATAGTTTTAATGTCTCCTTTGCGCCATTTATAACATTTCTGGTGTATTTTTAAATGTTTATACAGTAGTGTACTGTGTACTGAAATAAACAGAATAGAGGAAGTCAGTTTTAATTTACATTATTTAATTATGAATACAGGTCAGACAGCCTGTCGTAAGTCTGAGGCATCAGTAAACGAGTATGTCGCTAAGTGAGGAGAGGCTGTATTATTATTATTATTGTAATTATTATTATTATCATACCATTGTTGTATGCTTAAAACATCTATCTGCCCTTTAAATATATCTTTAATTTAAATATTTCCTTTCTCTGGTTAATACTGACATTTATAAAAATGATAAGAAAGAAGGACGATCCTGGTATGGGAAAGCTACTGAGCATATTCTGAAAAATACTATTGCTAGTTTTCACTTTACAGGGTGTGTGTCAGTCCCACAATTTAAGGGTTGTGGGTCAAACCCCCAGAAATGAGCATTGAAAAATTTACAAGTAATTTTAGGGGGGCATGTGCCAAGCCCCATAATTTAAGAGTTGTGGGTCAAACCCCAGAAATAGGCATCAAAAAAATTGCAAGTAATTGAATATTCTTGGGATGATGATCAATAAAATTTAAAATTAGGCAGCACATAAATCTGAGGTTCTTCTTTCAGACCAAGGTCAGTGGTGGAGTCATGTTGCAATTTTATTAAATGAAATATTGACAAAGTACAGCAGCTTGCTGATTATGGGGATTCATTCATCACTCATCCTGACTTCCTCTTTCTGACAGATAGTTTCAGCTTTCACAATATAGACAATCACCTTCGTTATGCTTTGCTAAAGATAGCTTTGGCTTTTTACCTTAAAGTCATGATACATTGTGTATTTTTCACATTGTGTATTTTTACACATTTTGAGTTTGTTATAAGCCAGCTATGAATATTATTTGATAAGCATTTTTAGTCGTAGTTATACTGTATGTTGTGATAATGAAATTTTGGTCAATATTTTTTTCAGTTTTATAAAAAACATTCCCTCCAAAAATTATTTAAGTTTTAGACTATTATACATTGTAGTACTAGAGTTTAATATGCCATGTAAATAATGCTATTATTATACTTACAGAATATGTGGCATGGAGCACTACATCTTCAGATCAGGGAATCCTGTGGCTTGCCGTATAAATGGATACAAAAATCTTTTCATTCCACTAATATCTTGTTAAAAAGGAAACTTCACATTGAAGTTAGGCCTGATATTCTTTACTCCCAAAAATATGGTATGGCAATGAAAAGAAATATGCATAGTTTTACAGACTCTCGCAGAAAATCTATTTTTATATCTCCTTTCAGTTCTTGTTATGCATATACTTATTTGTTACAGAAAGAAATTTTATCTAGATGTAACCCACCACATGCTCAGAATTGTTATTATCACAGCTTCTCAGGTAATTGGATTTTCACTCAAAGAGGAATGGAACATAGTTTTCTCTTAACCTCATTGCAGTGTTCTCCTATAAATAGTGTATCAAACAGGCATTTTTCATTTTCATGGTTGGATAGTTTAGCAGTTTCTCAGGCAGGATGGTTCCAATCATTATCTAAGTCAAGACTTGTGGAAGGCTTGATGACAAGTTTGCAGGGAATCCATGACAATTTACATATCCCATGGTGGGCTGCTATACTTCTTTCAACTGTCTTGATGAGAGGAGTTCTTACCTTCCCTATAGCTGTTTATCAGGTATGCTATTTCTTAATTACTGTATTCTAAGTGTGTGTTTCTTGAATAAATTTAAATTACTTGTGCATTTATTTTAATACTGTATTAGTCTTTGTTAACACAAATGTTATATCTAGTTATGATTGTTAATTATTAGTAGTACAGAATCAAAATATGCTTTTCACAGTAGTAAGTGTAAATTATATTTATTAAGCAAAATATTTGTAGATAACAATGATTTAAAAACATTCACTCTAGCTGATCATGACTACTTTTTTATTTCTTCCATCAGAATTACATAGTTTCAAAACTAGAAAATCTGAAACCAGAAATGGATGAATTGGTTAAAGAACTGAAAAAAGAAACTGCATATGCCATAAGGAAATTTGGCTGGAATGAGACACATGCCCGTCATATGTTCAACAGATCGGTTAGTTTTTTAAATTAATTAATTAGGTATGTGTGTACATCATGTGAGTGTGTTCTTGCCCCTTTTATAATTCCTGTCCTCTTCATTAATTTCAATACACAAGGGGATTGTTGAGGTGGTTTGGACATTTATATGATGGTAAAGGAGGTTTTGTGTGCAAGAAGCTTAGACTTCCAACAGCATGTGTGAGCATGTTAGATAGGAGTAAGTGGAAACAAATGGTTTTTATGACTTGATGCACTGTTGGAGTGTAAGCAAAGTAACATTTATGAAGGAATTCAGAGAAACTGGTTAGCCGGACTCGAGTCTTGGAGGTGGGAAGTACAGTGCCTGCACTCTGAAGGAGGGGTGTTGATATGTTGTAGTTTTTTAATTGTAGTGTGGGCATGCCTCTGGCAAGACAATAAATGAGTGAATGATGATGAAAGTGTTTCTTCTTTTTCAGGTCACCCTGCCTTGGTGGGAAATGGCTGATGTGTTAATAAAAAAAATCTTAGCAAACAATCTTTAATTTCCACAAGATACAGTATACATAGTCGTACAAGATTGAATGACGTTTGATAGTAGCCATGGAAAGCCCCTGGTTATGCATAGCATTTTGGGCATGCTAAACCCTAAGACTAATAAAACATAAACAGTCCACATATTTATATACAAAGACATTAAACAGACAGTAATTCTAATGAAGATAAACATACAGGCAGAAAAATAACAACATTGTTTAAAAGTAGAACACTGGATGTTGTTGCATCAGTCAAGGTTCCTCTAGTGTCAAATGTAAGGTAGAAAACTATGTTTAATCTTAGAAAGGAATTTCATGAGTCTCAAATATTCCAGAGCAAAAAGAAGGGATGTAATGGAGATGTGATTGTAAATAGGATTATTATTAAGAAATTATTTCATGTAAAAAACAACAATCATTATTTGTGCATCGATGTTTTAATTATTTTTTTTTTTTTTATTATCACACTGGCCGATTCCCACCAAGGCAGGGTGGCCCGAAAAAGAAAAACTTTCACCATCATTCACTCCATCACTGTCTTGCCAGAAGGGTGCTTTACACTACAGTTTTTAAACTGCAACATTAACACCCCTCCTTCAGAGTGCAGGCACTGTACTTCCCATCTCCAGGACTCAAGTCCGGCCTGTCGGTTTCCCTGAACCCCTTCATAAATGTTACTTTGCTCACACTCCAACAGCACGTCAAGTATTAAAAACCATTTGTCTCCATTCACTCCTATCAAACACGCTCACGCATGCCTGCTGGAAGTCCAAGCCCCTCGCACACAAAACCTCCTTTACCCCCTCTCTCCAACCTTTCCTAGGCCGACCCCTACCCCGCCTTCCTTCCACTACAGACTGATACACTCTTGAAGTTATTCTGTTTCGCTCCATTCTCTCTACATGTCCGAACCACCTCAACAACCCTTCCTCAGCCCTCTGGACAACAGTTTTGGTAATCCCGCACCTCCTCCTAACTTCCAAACTACGAATTCTCTGCATTATAAGAGCGTTGGTAAAACTATACTCTCATACATTCCCCTCTTTGCCTCCAAGGACAAAGTTCTTTGTCTCCACAGACTCCTAAGTGCACCACTCACTCTTTTCCCCTCATCAATTCTATGATTCACCTCATCTTTCATAGACCCATCCGCTGACACGTCCACTCCCAAATATCTGAATACATTCACCTCCTCCATACTCTCTCCCTCCAATCTGATATTCAATCTTTCATCACCTAATCTTTTTGTTATCCTCATAACCTTACTCTTTCCTGTATTCACCTTTAATTTTCTTCTTTTGCACACCCTACCAAATTCATCCACCAATCTCTGCAGCTTCTCTTCAGAATCTCCCAAGAGCACAGTGTCATCAGCAAAGAGCAGGGTTTTGACAACTCCCACTTTGTGTGTGATTCTTTATCTTTTAACTCCATGCCTCTTGCCAAGACCCTCACATTTACTTCTCTTACAACCCCATCTATAAATATATTAAACAACCACGGTGACATCACACATCCTTGTCTAAGGCCTACTTTTTACTGGGAAAAAATTTCCCTCTTTCCTACATACTCTAACTTGAGCCTCACTATCCTCGTAAAAACTCTTCACTGCTTTCAGTAACCTACCTCCTACACCATACACTTGCAACATCTGCCACATTGCCCCCCTATCCACCCTGTCATATGCCTTTTCCAAATCCATAAATGCCACAAAGACCTCTTTAGCCTTATCTAAATACTGTTCACTTATATGTTTCACTGTAAACACCTGGTCCACACACCCCCTACCTTTCCTAAAGCCTCCTTGTTCATCTGCTATCCTATTCTCCGTCTTACTCTTAATTCTTTCAATAATAACTCTACCATACACTTTACCAGGTATACTCAGCAGACTTCTTCTTTCAGCGTACCAGCCGTATCCCACTGAGGTGGGGTGGCCCAAAAGAAAAAACTGAAGTTTCTCCTTTTAAATTTAGTAATATATACAGGAGAAGGGGTTACTAGCCCCTTGCTCCCGGCATTTTAGTCGCCTCTTACGACACGCATGGCTTACAGAGGAAGAATTCTGTTCCACTTCCCCATGGAGATAAGAGGAAATAAACAAGAACAAGAATTAGAAAGAAAATAGAAGAAAACCCAGAGGGGTGTGTATATATATGCTTGTACATGTATGTGTAGTGTGACCTAAGTGTAAGTAGAAGTAGCAAGACTTACCTGTAATCTTGCATATTTATGAGACAGACAAAAGACACCAGCAATCCTACCATCATGTTAAACGATTACAGGCTTTCGTTTTACACTCACTTGGCAGGACGGTAGTACCTCCCTGGGCGGTTGCTGTCTACCAACCTACTACCTACAACTCAGCAGACTTCTTTCTTTCAACACACCGGCCGTATCCCACCGAGGCGGGGTGGCCCAAAAGGAAAAACGAAAGTTTCTCCTTTTACATTTAGTAATATATACAGGAGAAGAGGTTACTAGCCCCTTGCTCCCGGCATTTTAGTTGCCTCTTACAACACGCATGGCTTACGGAGGAAGAATTCTGTTCCACTTCCCCATGGAGATAAGAGGAAATAAACAAGAATAAGAACTAGAAAGAAAATAGAAGAAAACCCAGAGGGGTGTGTATATATGTGCTTGTACATGTATGTGTAGTGTGACCTAAGTGTAAGTAGAAGTAGCAAGACTTACCTGTAATCTTGCATATTTATGAGACAGACAAAAGACACCAGCAATCCTACCATCATGTTAAACGATTACAGGCTTTCGTTTTACACTCACTTGGCAGGACGGTAGTACCTCCCTGGGCGGTTGCTGTCTACCAACCTACTACCTACAACTCAGCAGACTTATCCCCCTATAATTTTTGCACTCTCTTTTATCCCCTTTGCCTTTATACAAAGGAACTATGCATGCTCTCTGCCAATCCCTAGGTACCTTACCCTCTTCCATACATTTATTAAATAATTGCACCAACCACTCCAAAACTATATCCCCACCTGCTTTTAACATTTCTATCTTTATCCCATCAATCCCGGCTGCCTTACCCCCTTTCATTTTACCTACTGCCTCACGAACTTTCCCCACTCTCACAACTGGCTCTTCCTCACTCCTACAAGATGTTATTCCTCCTTGTCCTATACACGAAATCACAGCTTCCCTATCTTCATCAACATTTAACAATTCCTCAAAATATTCCCTCCATCTTCCCAATTATGCAAGATCTATATTAAATAGAAGACATGGCTGAATTCACTTATTCAGCAATGAAAACCTCTTAATTGGTTTTCATTAAAATCTTCTTCTTTCAACAAACCGGCCATATCCCACCAAGGCAGGGTGGCCCAAAAAGAAAAACAAAAGTTTCTCTTTTTAACTTTAGTACTGTATACAGAAGGGGTTACAAGCACCTTGCTTCTGGCATTTTAGTCACGTCTTACAACACGCATGGCTTGTGGAGGAAGAATTCTGTTCCACTTCCCCATGGAGATAAGAGGAAATAAATAAGAACAATAACTAGTAAGAAAATGAGAGATGTGTTTATACATGCTTGTACATGCATGTGTAATGTGACCTAAGTGTAAGTAGAAGTAGCAAGACATACCTGAAATCTTGCGTGTTTATTGAGATGGAAAAAAGACACTAGCAATCCTACCATCTTGTAAAACAATCACAGGCTTTCATTTTACACTCACTTGGCAGGACAGTAGCACCTCCCTGGGCAGTTGCTGTCTACCAACCTACTACCTAGATTTTCATTAAAATGTACTTTTTTAAACAACTAGGAGGTATGAACAATAAAATGGTATAAAATACCGACAGGTTGTTTAGGTAAGACACATATGCAACAGTTAGGTATAAAGATAAAGATACCTAACTGTTGCATATGTCTTACCTAAACAACTAGGAGGTATAAAAAGCTGAGGAGATGTAGTTTTATTAGAATCTGCATTATTGACATTACACTAACCCTTTCACTGTGTCATACATAGATCTGTATTATTGACATCAGGGTCACTTATGTAGATCTACGTTTTGAGCTCAGCTCCCTCAGATAAGCTCTGAGCGGTAAATCTGACCTAGATATGAGAAAATGGGTCTGTGCTGTGAGTGTGCATGATGGGAAAAGCAAACCTCTGACCTTGTCTTTAGTTTAAAATTACAAATTTGAGGTGTTTTCAAGTATGGTATTTATGGTTTCATTGGTTGTTTCTTGGTATAATTTGTTAGAATGGAAAATATATTACTGAAATAGAGATGATTTTGGTTGGTTTTGGGAAGGAATTAGCTTGAAATTAAGGTAACAGTAGCAGAAATATTTGACTTGACAATTTAACTGAGGTCTCATAAGACTCGCCATTTCCTCCACACACACACACCCTCCAGTCTGTTTTATGGGTTTTTACCAAGTCTGATTCAATTACTAAAGCATGACCAGTCATTCCCGGTTATATTATATTAACTTCCTTTTGTAATGAATTCAGAATGGCAAAATGGAGGACAAGTGTAATAAAGAACAGGCCTGAAGACATGATTAATGAACACAGGAAATGTTGCTGTAGTGTGTGGAGTATCTATAGTGTTTATTTTGGACTCACTTTTTAATTTTTTTTTTAATTTTGTGTAAAAATGGCCAAATTACCAGTTTCTCCGTACTTGATAGGGTAGTTCTGATAGTTAATTGGGCAGTTTCTTGTGCTCAGTCGATAAAATGGAAGATATAAAAGGAAAATAACTAAGAATTTGTTTGAACTGAGTAGTAGAATTAGCTTAAAATAGGACTCAAAGTGGGTAAAACCACCAGTTTATAAATTGTGCCCAGAACACAGTAATTCCAGAATTTTTCCATCAAATTTCATATTTTTTGTGTCATTACCTTTAGAAAAAGATTCTCTACAATTTTTTTTTTAAATGCTGACACTGGGCACTTTTAACAGTGAAGGGATTAATTGGAAACAATGTTACGTAAACAAGTTGTGCTCTCTTTTTTTCAGGCTCGTAAAATTTGGAAGGAATTGGTTATTCGAGAGAATTGCCATCCATTCAAGACCAGTATATTGCTGTGGGTACAAATACCTCTTTGGATTGCAATGACCATGTCTTTCCGTAACATGGCGTCCATGATGCCACATCAGGATACAGGTGAGTCAAGGATGGAAGATGAATGGTTTCTCATATTGTCATGCAAAATAATATTTTTTGTAGCTTTTATTTGTTCTTAAATTGTCACGAAGCACCGAAATGTAGCAGATGAATCATTATTACATTCATAAAAAGCACTAAACTCCAGTGTCATTCACTGCTGTAGTACTTGAAGATTCACCAGAAAAAGCACCTGAAGTCAGACATTCCAATTGCATAATTCTGTCTTGTATTCCTCATCCACACCTCCAAACCTCACAGAGTAACTTGCACCTTCCCTTTTTCCAGCAAGACGTTTCACTAATACAGTGCACTATTGGTACCGTATAGCACATTTAACGTATTCTAAAACTATCAAGCCATTTTTTCCTTTCATTGTATTACCAACTCTCAGCAGATTTTTTCTTCCTGCTCTTCTATCTATATAGTATAAGGTATGCCCTTATATTTTTTAAACGAGAGGTACAGTGCTTACTCTCTGAAGGAGGGGTAGGGATGTTTGGGAGTTTGAAGGGCCATCTGAACTGTGATGTCAGCATGTTTCTGACAAGACAGGGAGTGAATGAGTGACAATAGAAGTGTTTCCACTTTTTCAGATCACCCTACCTTGGTGGGAGATAGCTGGTGTGTTAAAAATTACTGGAGGAAATATAATTCTTACATTATCAATTAATTTTTTTCCTCTTTTTGAATTCTTTTATTCTGGTTTTAACCTCGAATAAATACAGTTGTTTTATGTCCTATAAAAAGCTACCCTTAGTAAAGTTCCTTGTACAGTTGCTGTAATCCCTAAGATTCCACAAGAAATTTGTTCCACAAGAAATGCAGAGATGGTGAATTTGCAGATATGGAACTTATATTTTGGCAACAAAAGGTGATATGCATTTTATAAGTGATATCCAAACATTGAAATATTCTTAATAGAAATGCATTATCAGGAAAAATGTATAATAATGTAATAGTGTATACGGATTACAGTAGAGTAATATAATACTGTACAGAATTGTGGTTTCAAAAACCAAACTTGTGAATAACAGTATAAATTTGTGAATCTCAGTTCTGGGAGTCCATCCTGTGGGCCAAGACATAATACCATACTTGAGTCATGGATCCACATACTCAATAGGTAATAAAACATTCGAGACAACTTTAAGACAGGCACACTTATTAATGCAACACTCATGATACTGCAAATACATTATGTTGTTTACCATATTTATAGATGGGGTTGTAAAAGAAGTGAATGCTAGGGTGTTGGGAAGAGGTGTGGCATTAAAATACAATGGACCCTTGGTTATCGGCCATAATCCGTTCCACAAGGTCGGTCTAAATTTAAATCACTATTAAATACCTTTATTGAAGACTCTTGTTGGCTTATGGAATAAAGGGAGGAGGAGAGAGGGAGGACTGATTATTATTTGGAAGGGGAATCCCCATTCAAAAGGACTGCAGGTATCAAAGCTCTTTCTGGGGTTACTTCCCTCCCTGCCTGCTACACTCCGTACATGCCTGCTACACTCCCTGCCTGCCTGCTACACTCCCTGCCTCCCTTCCACACACTGTTTCCCTGCTACACTCTCTGCATGCCTGCTACACTCCTGCCTTCCTCCTACACCCTGCCTCCCTACTACACTCCCTGCTTGCCTGCTAAACTCCCTCCCTCCCTGCTACACTCCCTCCCTATGTGCTACACTCCCTGCCTGCCTGCTACACTCCCTTCCTCCCTGCTACACTCCCTTCCTCCCTGCTACACTCCCTCCCTCCATGCTATGCTTCCTGCCTCCCCGCTACACTCCCTGCATGTCTGTTACACTCTCTGCCTTCCTCCTACACCCTGCCTCCCTACTACACTCCCTGCCTGCCTGCTACACTCCCTCCCTCCCTGCTACACTCCCTCCCTCCATGCTACACTCCTCGCTACACTCCCTCCCTTAATGCTACACTTCCTGCCTCCCTGCTACACTCTCTGCCAGCCTGCTATACTCCCTCCCTCCCTGCTACACTCCCTCCCTCCATGCTACACTCACTGCCTGCCTGCTACACTCCCTCCCTCCATGCTACACTTCCTGCCTCCCTGCTACACTCCCTGACTGCCTGCTACACTCCCTGCATGTCTGTTACACTCTCTGCCTTCCTCCTACACCCTGCCTCCCTACTACACTCCCTACCTGTCTGCTACACTCCCTCCCTGCTACACTCCCTCCCTCCATGCTACACTCCCTCCCTCCATGCTACACTTCCTGCTACACTCCCTGCCAGCCTGCTATACTCCCTCCCTCCCTCCATGCTACACTCCCTGCCTGCTTGCTACACTCCCTCCCTCCATGCTACACTTCCTGCCTCCCTGCTACACTCCCTGACTGCCTGCTACACTCCCTGCATGCCTGCTACACTCCCTGCTAAACTCTCTCCCTCCATGCCACACTTCCTGCCTCCCCACTACAGTCCCTGCCTACCTGCTACACTCCTTGCATCCCTTCCACAGTGTAAGTGTAAAGAACCTAGGATAACCCAAAAAAGTCAGACAGAGTGACTCATTTCCATTGGGGTCCTGCCTCCCTGCTACACTCACTGCCTCCCTTTCGCAACATTACCTTCCTTGATGTTTGGATGAATGAACAGAAGTGTCCTCACTTGCCCAGAGCCACAGCCAGACTGACTCATGAACATGCAAAGGGCTGGTGGACAGACAGGTGGACGCGTCCAATACGGCCAATAAGTGAAATAATGGCCGATAACCGGAAGCCGAAAAACTGGCCGATAAGCGGAACAACTGATAACCGAGGGTCCACTGCATATAGAATATAATACAAAGTGGGATTTGTCACAGCTACTTTTTTGTAGATGACACTGAGCTTTTGAGAGATTCTGAAGAAAAGTTGCAAAAGTTGGTGAACGAATTTGGAAGGGTATGTAAAAGAAGGAAATTAAAAGTAAATATGGGAAAGAGCAAGGTGATGAGGACAAAAAATTTAGGTAATGAAAGATTGGATATCATACTGGAAGGAGGGAGTATAGAGGAAGTGAATGTGTTCAGATATTTAGGATTTTACTTGTTAGTGGTTGGGTCTATGAAAGATGAGGTGACCCATAGAATTGATGAGGAGAAAAAAAAGTGGGTGGTGCATCGAGGCATCTGTGGAGACAAAGAAAATTATCTATGAGGGCAAAAAGGGGAATTGTATGAGAATATAGTGGTACCAACATTCTTATATGGATGTGAAGCATGGGTTGTGAATGTTACAGCAAGGAGGAAGCTGGAGGCAGTGAAGGTGTCATATCTGAGAGCAATGTGTGGTGTAAATATTATTCAGAGAATTCATAATTTGAAGATTAGGAGGTACGAGGTTACAAAAAGTGTTATCCACAGGGCTGAGGAGGGGTTGTTAAGGTTGTTTGGACATTTAGAGAGGATAGAGCAAAATAGGATGACTTGGAGGGTGTATAAATCTGTAGTGGAGGGACAGCAGGGTAGGAGTTGCCCTAGGAAAGGTTGAAGAGCTGGGGGCCAAGAAGGTTTAGTATGCTAGGGGCTTGGATATTCAGCAGGTGTATGTGAGTGTGTTAGATACGAATGAGTGGAGGCAAGTGGTTTTTATAATTGATGTGCTGTTAAAGTGTGGGCAAGGTAACATTTATGAAGGGATTCAGGGAAACCGGTTAGCCAGACTCGAGTCATGGAGATGGGAAGTACAGTGCCTGCATTCTGAAGGAATGGGGATATTTACGGTTTGGAGGAGCACCTGAATGGTAGTATCCGCATGCCTCCGGCAAGAAAGTGCCTCTTCTTTTATGTAGGAGCATAATTTATTGACTTCTCAGTCAAGTAATACAGTATACTCTGTACAATTGCTCATAATTTTTGTTCCAGCTGCCCAGGTCCTGTTCTTGGAGTTAAGTGTAGGAGGGTTTGGATGGATACCAAATTTAACACAAGTGGACCATTCTCTTATCCTGCCTATAGCCATGGGAGTCCTCAATCTCATAATCATAGAGGTATGGCTTGATTTTCACTGATACAGTACTGTATAAATAAAGAAAAAAGAACAATCCTTTACTTCTTTACTTATGGTTTACAGGTGAATGATGTGAACCGAATAGGGGAAAAGACAAAACTACAAAAAATTGCCACCAACATCTTTCGTGCATTGAGTGTTGCTATGATACCTATCGCAGCTTCTGTTCCATCGGTACGTTTATGTAATAATAGTATTTTATATCCTAGGTAGTAGGTTGGTAGACAGCAACCGTCCAGGGAGGTACTACCGTCCTTCCAAGCGAGTGTAAAACGAAAGCCTGTAATTATTTTACATGATGGTAGGATTGCTGGTGTCCATTTTCTGTCTCATAAATATGCAAGGTTTCAGGTACGTCTTGCTACTTCTACTTACACTTAGGTCACACTACACCTAGTAGCGACCAGTGAAGAGGCGGGGCCAGGAGCTTGGACTCGATCCTTGCAACCTCAACTAGGTGAGTACAACTAGGTGAGTACATACATGTACAAGCATATATATACACACCCCTCTGGGTTTTCTTCTATTTTCTTACTAGTTCTTGTTCTTGTTTATTTCCTCTTACCTCCATGGGGAAGTGGAACAGAATTCTTCCTCCGTAAGCCATGCGTGTTGTAAGAGGCAACTAAAATGCCAGGAGCAAGGGGCTAGTAACCCCTTCTCCTGTATATATTACTAAATGTAAAAGGAGAAACTTTCGTTTTTCCTTTTGGGCCACCCCACCTCAGTGGGATACGGCTGGTGCGTTGAAAGAAAGAAAGAAGTATTTTATATTCTAAGAAAGCATAAAAGTCACTTTCAACTTGCAAATTTATACTTTTCTATGTTTTAATATTCAATATCAAATGAGTACTCATATTTATAAGGGTGTGTAAAAACTACTAAACTTAGGATAACTGGAGCAAATTCTATGGCAAATGGGATATGTATGCAAGTGATGGGGTTCATCTCTCTGGGGCTGGAGTGGTTCCATTAGCCAATTCGATTGAGGGGGTAATTGATGACTTGTCTAAGACTTTCAACTGATAGATTATAGAGGTATGGGTGTTTGTTGGAAACAATCAGGCTGCAGTATTAGGGTTGAAAACAGCAGGTATTACTGGGATACCTCAGGGATATGTTTAAAAGACAATATTCAAGATAAAGTTGCTAGTAAAGGCAAAGCAATTGATCAACAAACAAAGAGAGATAGTAGAGGGCAACGAGTGACTAGTTTCCTTAAGGTTTACTATACAAATAGTAGGAGTCTAAGAAATAAGATAGATGAGCTAAGATTACTTGCATGTGCAGGTAATATAGATATTATTGCTATAACAGACATGGTTCAACCTGAAAGATAGAAAAATGCCTTCTGAATGCAACATACAGGGTTATAAACTATTCCACACTGATAGGGTCAACAGGAAGGGTGGTGGAGTGGTGATGTATGTCAGAGATAATTTAAATTGTTGTCTTAGACATGATATACGATTAGAAACATCGGACACAGAATCTGTTTGGCTACAGTTTCTCGAGGGTCGTGACAAATTAATTTTGGGTGTGATTTATAGGCCCTCAAACCGTGGTAGGGAGTGCAGTAAGGTGTTATGGGACGAAATTCATAAGGTGTCTAGATATGAAAATGTTGTGTTAATGGGAGATTTTAACAATGTGACAGGAAATCTTGAATTCAGGATTGCTTTTTAAAACAGTTTGTGACAGAACCAACTAGAGGAAACAATCTGCTTGACTTGGTTCTTGCCAACAAAGAATCGCTAATTAATAATCTTGAGGTTAATGATGAGCTTGGGGAAAGCGATCACAAATCACTTAGTTTTAATATATCATGGAATTACCTGTCTTACGAGTTTATTAACTTTTTTCACTAAGGTGTTTGAGGAGGTAAATCATGGTTATGAATATGATATTGTGTATATGGAGTTCAGTAAGGCTTTCGATAGAGTTCCACATCAGATGCTATTGAGGAAACTTAAGGCACACAGAATAGGAGGAGAAATTTTTTCCTGGGTAGAGGCATGGTTGACAAATAGGCAGCAGAGAGTTTGCATAAATGGAGAGAAATTGGAGTGGGGGCATGTCACAAGCGGTGTTCTGCAGGAGTCATTGTTGGGCCCATTGTTGTTCACAGTTTACATAAACGACATAGATGAGGGAATAAATATCGACGTAAGCAAATTTGCTGATGACACTAAAATAGGTAATTTAATTCATTCTAATGAGGACACTAGAGCACTCCAGGATGATTTGAATAGACTGATGCAATGGTCGGAGAAGTGGCAGATGCAGTTTAATATAGACAGATGCAAAATTCTAAATGTTGGACAGGAAAATAACCATGCTACATATAAACTAAATAATGTAGATCTTAATACTACTGATTGCAAAAAGGATTTAGGAGTTCTGGTTAGCAGTAATCTAAAACCAAGACAACAGTGCATTAGTGTTTGCAGTAAAGCTAACAGAATCCTTGACTTCGTATCTAGAAGTATAAATAATAGAAGTCCTCAGGTTGTTCTTCAACTCTATATATCCTTGGTTAGGCCTCATTTAGATTATGCTGCACAGTTCTGGTCACCATGTTACAGAATGGATATAAATGGACTGGAAAACGTACAGAGGAGGGTGACAAAGTTGATCCCATGTATCAGAAATCTTCCCTATGAAGACAGACTGAGGGCCCTGAATCTGCACTCTCTAGAAAGGCACAGAATTAGGGGGGATATGATCCAGGTGTATAAACGGAAAACAGGAATTAATAAGGAGATGTAAATAGCGTGTTGAAAATTTCCAGCCAAGACAGGACTCGCAGCACTGGTTTCAAGTTGGAAAAATTCAGATTCAGGAAGGATATAGGAAATCACTGGTTTGGTAATAGAGTTGTGGATGAGTGGAACAAACTCTTGAGTACAGTTATAGAGGCTAAAACGTTGTGTAGTTTTAAAAATAGGTTAGATACAGTGGACCCCCGGTTAACGATATTTTTTCACTCCAGAAGTATGTTCAGGTGCCAGTGCTGACCGAATTTGTTCCCATAAGAAATATTGTGAAGTAGATTAGTCCATTTCAGACCCCCAAACATACACGTACAAACGCACTTACATAAATACACTTACATAATTGGTCGCATTCGGAGGTAATCGTTATGCGGGGGTCCACTGTTTATACATGAGTGTGTGGGGGTGGGTGTAAGTTGGACCTGACTAGCTTGTGCTACTAGGTCTGATGCCATGCTCCTTCGTTAAGTGGGAGTGACCTGACTAGGTGGGTCATTGGGCTAAGCTGGAGGGTGACATGAACCTGCTTCACATGGGTCAGTAGGCCTGCTGCAGTGTTCCTTCTTTCTTATGTTTTTAAATAACCTGTCATTTAGACACACTTTTTCAACAGCCAACCTCATTTAATCATAATCTTGATTTGAACATTGTAGCATTCTTATAGCAGTACTCATTATAAATCACCACTTGCTATTTCCATTACTTTTATTGTATGATAGTAGAAGATGTTAACTCATTCAGTGCTGTTTGGCAAGGGTGCTTGAGAGAGAAAAAAAGAGGTGGTGCTGATGAGAGAATTTTGACAAAAGGTTAGCACACACATCATTTTTCAGTTAAGAAATCATGAGTTCTGCCTTATATGTGAGGCCATCAGGGAAGGGTAGGCTGAGTAAATGTGTCAGGGTACTGATTGAGGCAAATAATATGAAGTCAGGAAATAAATATAGGCTTTGGAAAACACAGCAGTGAGGCTCCATGTTAAGAGTAGAGATCTTCTTTCAAAAGGAAAAGCAAAAGTTTCTCCTTTTACATTTAGTAACATATACAGGAGAAGGGGTTACTAGCCCCTTGCTCCTGGCATTTTAGTCGCCTCTTACGACACGCATGACTTATGGAGGAAGGATTCTGTTCCACTTCCCCATGGAGATTAGTGGAAATAAACAAGAACAAGAACTAGTAAGAAAAATAGATGAAAACCCAGAAGGGTGTGTAAATACAGTGGACCCTCGCCTAACGAACGCATCACATAACGTTAAATCCACCTAGCGATACATTTTAATGCAAAAATTTTGCCTCTGCTAGCGCTAAAAAACTCGCCCAACGCGATTCGTTCCATTTGAGACGTGTCCACGTGTGGCCTGAGCGCGCCTCACTTGTCCTGTGGGTGCCAGTGTTTACAAGCCAGCCACCGCGGTCGCATCCAAACATACAATCGGAACATTTCATATTATCACAGCGTTTTTAGTGATTGCACCTGCAAAATAAGTCACCATGGGCCCCAAGAAAGCTTCTAGTGCCAACCCTGTGATAAAAAGGGGTGAGAATTAGTATGGAAATTAAGAAAGATTTTGAAGGGTTTGGGGCTAACCCTGAGACGCCTATGCCAGTTGTGGAATCCATTGTGCCTACTTCAAAAATTAAGGAAATGCGTGCAAAGTGGGTTGAACTGCAAACCTTTATGGATGAAAATCACCCTAACACAGCTATTGCAAGCCGTGCTGGTGACTATTACAGTGACAATGTTATGGCCCATTTTAGACAAATCTTAAAGGAACGGGAGGTACAGAGCTCTATGGACAGATATGTTGTGCGACAGAGGTTCAGTGACTCTCAAGCTGGTCCTAGTGGCATTAAAAGAAGAAGGGAAGTAACCCCGGAAAAGGACTGGCTACCTCAAGTCCTAATGGAAGGGGATTCCCCTTCTAAACATTAACACCATCCACACACTCCCCTCCTCCCATCCCATCAATCATCACCAGATCTTCAAGAAAGGTAAGTGTCATGTAATTGCACATGTCTTCTTCAGTTTGTGTGTATTAAAATTAATATTTCATGTGGTAAATTTTTTTTTTTGTCATACTTTGGGGTGTCAGGAACGGATTAATTTGATTTCCATTATTTCTTATGGGGAAAATTAATTCGGCTAACGATAATTTCGCCTAACGTTGAGCTCTCAGGAACGGATTAATATTGTTAGGCGAGGGTCCACTGTACTCACCTATTTGTGGTTGCAGGGGTCGAGTCATAGCTCCTGGCCCTGCCTCTTCGCTGATTGCTACTAGGTCCTCTCTCTCCCTGCCCCATGAGCTTTATCATACCTCGCCTTAAAACTATGTATGGTTCCTGCCTCCACTATGTCACTTTCTAGGCTATTCCACGGCCTGACTACTCTATGACTGA